ATCCAAATTAGAATATTTGGCTTGATTTTGTTCAGCAGGTAATTGTAATCATTTATTACTGTAAACATACATTAATCACTTTTCATAACACTGATATTTTACACATATAAATTCAATTTTTACCAACCTATATAGGGTTTAGTTTCAGTGAACATTTTCAATTGTAGTCTTGATGTGTGTTTATATATATATTAACAAAACAGGCCAAAACAACACAAGAACTACATTAAAAATGCTGCATAAATTAAAAGGGTCACCAGGGTACAGGCTATAATGTGGGATATAAGATGTGAATTACAACAGTACTTCTAAAGGCTTTATTATAGCTTTAACAATATCATACAAAAATCACGTCATTACTCTAATTGTCTCTCACTCGCATCTTTCTATTAATAAATACAGGGATGACTTAAAAACAATGGTTATTACATGTCAGCACTTAGTTGCTTAGATTTTTAAGTACTTTAAAGCAATAAAATATGCAAGTTGGTGCAAGCATATAGGAATGAAGAACAATGGATAACTATAGTTAAGTGATGGATAACTATAGTCAAGTGATGGAGAACAATGGATAACTATAGTCAAGTGATGGAGAACAATGGATAACTATAGTCAAGTGATGGAGAACAATGGATAACTATAGTCAAGTGATGGAGAACAATGGATAACTATAGTCAAGTGATGGAGAACAATGGATAACTATAGTCAAGTGATGGAGAACAATGGATAACTATAGTCAAGTGATGAAGAACAATGGATAACTATAGTTAAGAGACTTTCAGAACTGGGATGATTGAATGAAAGCAACTTTGATATTGACAAACCAAAATACTCTTTGTCAAGTAACAATTACTCATGAAACTTAACATATATTTTTGCACTTTGAAAATTACATAAGATATGAAGTAATAAATTCTGACTAAAAGAAACGTTTTGTATTTCTAAAACACCTTTTATACAAAAGTTTACACTTCTAGCATGTAAATGAAACGTATCCACACCAAAGTACAATAACTGTATGAAGATTAACACCTTTTCAAGAAAAAAAATGAGACATTAAATTTTTTTCAAGTTTTACAAGTCTAAATTTTTTTAGATAATTTCAAATTATCCTACACAACTACTAAACTGGTTATTTTTCACGAGACTTTCCTTTATGCCAGTAGAACTGTGACTGTTCATTGTTATATAGTACATCAACCAATCACCATTCAATAAAAGTTTGGGTGAAAAGCAAATGCTTTTGTTGTTGTTGTTAAGAGCAAAATAACACAATAGGCTATCTGTGATGTGATGCCCATGGGTGTTGAAACCCAGTTTTTAGCATTATAAGCCTTCACACTTACCAATGAGGGACTCACCAAACAGAATAGATGATTTTTCACATGGGTACAAATAATCCTCATTGTATCAAAGTTTGAGTAATAAAATTAAAATCCAAGGGCATAAAGTTAATTCATCATTTAATCTAGTCCTTACACAATTACCACTAACATGAGTATAAATCAAATATTCTACATGTTTAATCAGGTAAGTGGAGTTTTTCAAAAATGAGAACTCATATTCTTACATCTTTGTAAGGTCTGTTTACATTTATAATACACTTCCACACATGGATCCTTATATGTACTTTAGGTCCATTCCTGATATTAAGTTGTACTTCTCAAACATTTCTGAACACAGTTATTTGTATTCTAGGTTCTTTGCTGGGGCTTAGTGGTATTTCTCAAACATTTCTAAACACAGATTTTTGTATTCATGACTCGTTGCTGGGTTTAATGGTATTTCTCAGACATTCCTGAACACCAACATTCGTATTCTAGATTCGTTACTGGGGTTTAATTGTCTTTTTCAAACACTTCTGAACACATACATACTTGTATCCTATATTCTTTTCTAAGATATATTGGTACTTTTCAAACACTTCTGAACACATATAACTGTATCATACATTTTTTTTTTTTAGATTTTGTGTATTTTTCAAACATTACTGAATACAGATACAAGATTTTTTATTTACAGAGATATTCTCTAGCTTATTAATAAGGCTGTTCAGATAAATATGTGATTGTATTGCTTAATAATGTTCACTTTTATCTTACATACAATTTTTTACAAGCTTTAGGTGACCGTCCGAAATGTGACATTTATAAATGTCCCATGAGCATAATCCAAATGGAAATTATTAATTTAAAAAGAAATTCATCACAATAACTGTCCAAAAAGTATATCTCATAGCTACAAGTAAACTCACTGTAACAAAGATTATCATCATCAAGTTACAGACAAAAAGGATTAACAAGTTTTAAATATTTTAAAAACATTTTGAAATAACTTCTTTTCACTTCAATTTCCAGAATAAACCAACAAATAAGGAAGTGAATGGACAACAATACTCCTTATTCTTCTTATACTATATGAGATAAAATAAAAAATTCAATAAATCTGTAAAAAGATTTTAAAGGTGTTTTGAAGTACTCTATCAAACTGGGTAAAAACAGACAGTTCAGTAATGTTCTCCCAGGGAAACAAAATAATCACTTTCCTTGGTATCTTTCTTAATATTTCCACTAAAACTGCCATATAGAAAACCTTAATCTCTTTCTGTCTTTCATTCAGCTAATTGCAAGAAACCTCATCTACAGTGCCAGTTTCAAGCTGCTATACACTCACTTGTGGGATTCACATTGCAATAAATGTGACCGTAAACTACATTTTGATGTTGCCCCATGACTACCAGTCCACCTGAGACCCTCACCAAACTCCACTTCAAGCTTTTGCTCAGGATCCTGCATATATTTATCAACAACAGTATGCTTTACAGTATCAACTTTGTGGACAGGTGACTCTGTGTCATGAGTGACAGAGTATGATGCCCCTCCAACATTGTTCATTATACTGACAGGGATGTAAGTTGGCATTTTCTGAAGACAAAAGGAAACCTAAAAAATAAAAAAATAAATCTCAGAAAATTGTCTTCAGTCACTTCTAATACACGTTTTTCTGCTGAATATATTTGTGAAATATTTGGACAAAGTTCTATATTATCTACATCAAGTAAAGTTACATTTTCTAGAACTCAGTGACTTAAAAGTAAAAAAAGAATTATACTATAAAATATTTAAGCAAATGAAATGGAAGAAACAAACTATAAATTACAAATGTGTTCAAGTTTGATATTTAAATACAAGATATACAGGTTTCATAGTATGTAGTAATAATCAGGTGATAGAAAAATCCACTTATCTGCTCATATATATGAGAGAAGATACCAAAAGGACAAGCAGAATTTGAACTTATCCAACTGAACAAAACAACAGAGTTTGAGCAGGTGCCATACTGAAAATATTTGATTTTACACATCATACAGTTATTCATTACTGTGGCCTTGCAAAAAATGGTACCCAACATTACAACTGGGTAAATAACTCAATTATTTAAGATAACCAATTACCTATAAACATTTCTTACATGAATTATGTCATGTTAAATAAACGAATAATCAACATTATGATTCAATTAATTAATAATTGTTTAATAAATATTATAATTAAGTTGATTAATGTCACAAAAATGATCAATTACGCAAAAGTAGTTTTTCCGATCATAACTTTTTATGAGTGTTTCAACCATCCAAGTAATTAAAATATTGCCATTATTTCTCATTATCATTTTTGATTAATTCAAGGCTGTTCAGCTTAATCAGTTAGTGTCATGACTCACAAAACTAATCAACTAATTAATATTAGTGTTTCCAATGATTACTATCCTCTATTATTCCGATTATCTAAGTCTCGTGTGAGAATAACTGATTAGTTGAATGTAATCAATTAACAAATTTCACAGCTCTACCTGACATACAATCCTTCTTTGTAAAAAATGGTTCACTGATAAAAAAAACCAAACTTATGTCAGTCTTGCAACTATCTACAGCCATTCAGAGGGAACATACCATGAAAAAGTACAATAAAGGAATGAGACGTAGACCTAACTGAATTGATTATTGATAGAGCATGACTTTAAATGGATTGAGAGTGGAAAGGAAAATTTCAAGAAAATAAAATTGTTGGAATCAACTCTAATAAAGTAAACCAGAAAAACAAATAGTAAATGATAAACAGTTTTACACAAGAATAAGTACAATATTTAAAACTAAAAACCTCATTCACAAATTCATGGGATGAAAGAAGCTTCTGGATGGATGAGTAAATATTACCAACACCTATTCTAAAGGATATGAATTACAAAATCATTTATTCATCAATTATTATTTTTATTACTCAAAGTAATTTTTTACTCTCTTTAACTTTTGGGTAACATTCATTTTGAAAAAAATAAATAAAAACTGAATTCATCCACTGATCAATAATAATTTCAGCATGTAATGTTCAGAAATCTGCCATGCTACAAATGAGGTGGATTAGTATATTACTGATGTCTAGTTTTCACTTTCTATACAACATAAATGGTTACCTGACTGTGACAAGTTCTTCCAGTGATCTTTTCAGCTTGTTTACAAAGTCTATGATGGGCTTCAGCAATTGCTAAGGTAGCCTGGTGGATTTTACAATAAATTTTCTCCCCTTCCAAAGTATGGAAAACAAACATACCTTCTCCAGTGCTGCAGTGTCTAAAAGAAAATTCTGAAACTTATTACAAACACCACTTCATAAAATTCTTAACAGAACTGCTATTTTATTTCTTATATATGTTTAAATTTACATTCGAGATAAAGTTGTCCTAAAATAGTAATCTGAATATTCATAATTAGAATATCATGAAAATCTTTATGTATAGTACCAATTTCTCAAGTTTATACCACAAAAATAATTCTAAAACTTTCAATATGAAATGTGCTAATGTACTGCTAAGACTGAATAATAAATTCAATACCATACCTGCTGAGAATAATAATTCTGAGTTATGTTAGCTCTCGGCAGTCCAGCCAAGTCAATGATAATATGTACTTCGAGTACTTTTAAGTGTGGAAAACAGACTGATGCAAGTGTTTATCCACACACTCTTGTTACTTTTAATATCCACAAGATATACAGCAATTAATGTTCATGTCTTAGAAGAAATTATTATCTCTTGCAACATTAGCTCCCGTCATAAAGCATCATGTTATTACATAAAGGACCAACAGCATTACTTTACTCAGATTCCACTGATTTCACAAGTAATACTAGAGCAATTTTGATTCATGTAACTAAGTAACTGTCTTAAAGCATCATGTTATTACAAAAAGGACCAACAGCATTACTTTACTCAGATTCCACTGATTTCACAAGTAATACTAGAGCAATTTTTATTCATGTAACTAAGTAACTGTCTTAAAGCATCATGTTATTACAAAAAGTAACAGCATTACATTACTCAGATTCAGCTGATCAAAAGTGATGCTCTAATTATCAGACATGATAACAGTAAAAAAAGCCAAAACTCTGAAAATTTGTTGAGGCAAACAACTGTTAGGCTGGAAGTCTGGGGCCTGCAAAAGGCCCCAAAAGCTGAAGAACTTTAGACTCTCTACGGTGTGAACTCAGCTTTTCCTGGCTCCAAATCTATTCTTCACATCAACATTACTTTTTTTAGTATTTTCTCAATAGATTTATATGTTTCTCAGAAATGGCATTGGCCAGTACATATAACTCAGAAATCTGCAAATTGTGCCTGAATTGTTTGATCCAAGATAGATGTATTACATAAAATATAAATATCAGTTAATTCAAACAAACTCTGAAAACAAAACACAATTTTTCCATATAATAAATATTTTTAAAAACTGTTTCAAAATTAACTGACCTTCCTGCTTCAAAAGTAAACTTTGCGGGATCACTTCCATATCTTCGTAGTGCAGTCAATGGCCAGGACACCAACTTTAGCCTGGGATTTGTTACATCCCACAAGTAAATATTTTCATGTGTCACCTGAAGCAGGCACTCTCCAAAAACATCCAATTTCGGAGTTGGCATCAAATAAACATGAAATTGTTCTGAAGGTAGAAAAATATTCAATATTTACTATAAAATTATTTTGAAGCACCTCAACTAAAGATACTTAATACACTGTAATTCATACTTTTGTAGCTCTAAACTCGGCTCTTTAGACATTTTCATACTAATGACAATTATTAGGTAGATTTACCTTCTAATTCTTTCTGAATTCCAGAACTCAAAACATCTGGTTCTCCAGTGCCAAGCCCTGGCTGGGGTAGAAAACACTCCTGAACCAACACTTTCACCCATGTATCTGCTTCAAGGTCTATAATAAGAAAAGTAAAATCTTTAGTGAAAGAATCTAACACTTTTAATATATATATGTACTTGGGTTATTCATGTCCAAAATTAATTTACAGAAATTTCCGTAAGTACATTTTAAGTAATCTATTGCTTTTTTAAATCTGAAGATCAATATTCCATGCATTATTTTTCAAACACAATATATCTATTTTAACCTTTGTGAGCTTTTAAATTCAGCAGAAACAAGGTGTATTGAAAGTTGAATAACTACCTGAATAATAGCTAAACTAAGAAATTCATGTATTTAATTATTATTACACTCTTGAGCACATTGATTACTAAAATAACTAAAGATAAAACTGTTGCTATATTTAGTATTAATGACTATGGTGACTTGAATCTTTTATACACTAACAGACTTTCTAACTAGTTTTTAAAGGTTAAGCCAGATTTTTAGTGGATGTTGTAATACAAGATTAAGGACTTCATTTTTATTCAAAGTTAAAGTTAATGAGTGAAATAAAACACCAAATGAAGTTGTGTAATGGACATTCTGAATGGTACCATGTGACTTTTCTACACACTTAATGCTTTTTTTTTCTTTTTCTTTATCAGCCGTCATCATGAAGATTCATAAAAGTGCATCAAAAAATCTCTTGCTATTTCATCATAAAGTTTGTCCAGTTTAATAAACTGAATTGTTCTTAGTACAATAACAAAAACATACCTGAATCACAGGCTAAACTCTTAGTGGTGCTATCTTGAAAACAAATGTTGAATGCATGTTTCCGTACACTAGTTGTCAACCTTGATACAGAGCTGACTGTATTTAATAATGCCACTTTGTGAGCTCCGCCAGTGCGAGCTGTTTTTTCATCTACATATTTCTCAAGACGACATGGTCCCTTACTCGAGGCTCGGCGTAGCACAATCCACCTTCTTTGCCACAACTTCAAGAGAATTTAATTTCATAATGGTCATTATTTTATAATAAGCTTACTACAAAGTGAAAATAAATCCTGCCAAAACATTTTACATAAATCAGCATGGATACACTAAGGTGAATGCAAAGGTTACACACTACCCAACTACTCATGAATTTAGGTGAGGTTATGGCCTATTGAAGAGTCATTACACCATACTAGCAGAAATGCTACCCTATGAGCAGCTGTTTGTGCTAGTAAATTCTAACCATAGTATTTATACCTCATTGAAAAAGTTTCAGAAAAAATGAACATTTTGTAAAAAAGGATTTTTCTGGGAAGTACTGCATGGGAAAAGTGTTTGAATTGTGCTGATTTAAAATGTAATGTTTTTCTATATTAAAAGTGGTACCCTTTAATGAAAAGATGACTTTTTTTAAGAACTCCATTTTATTAGTACTATATTTACAAATTACACCAATAAAGATATAATCAAACTCTAAGTACAGTCCTAGTGAAAGTCAGTTTCTTGTTGTGAGGAGAGTATTTTTGTTTAAAGTTGTATTTTGTGATAAAGAAATTGTTGTTGCACATACCATAGTTATTTTTCTAATTGTATGAATCTTGAATACCCAAAGTTTGAAATTTTTTATGGATTTTTATTTGTGATGCCATTCAATAGATGGCACCATATTGTATTTATTATTTGGGTCATGTACACAGATAAGATACATATATACACACACTACTTCCATTATAGTAAGATTACTGATGTATTACATGTACAACTGTAACATAAATATAAACTTCAATCATTATGATAAACAACAAAAGTTATGTTCTTATTTTTAAATTTAAGAACATTAAACATCCTTTTTCTGGTCTAACACACTGCTCTGTTTTTCTTTCTCTACCATAGAATGTCTTCTTTGCTGAAAGGCTAACCACTCTGTGTTAAGTATAAATCTAACATTAGGTCTAATTAGCATACACTCATAATCAAAGAATTTTTTAGCTTTCCACATTACTATGTATGTTTGGGTAATAATTTTTTCTGAAGTTTCAAAAATTAATGTTTTACCTATTCATCAAAATATACAACATAAGTAAACTATACTTAAATCTGAAGAACTTCTTAAACTGTACAAAATCACTGTAAATTGATTGAGAAAATCAAGTCATGTTATAATAAGTTTGAGTAATCTTTTTTTAGTGCTGACATAAGCATTCAGTTAAATATTGTTATTTAATTAAGCAAACAGTATAATCTACTCAAATAATCAAAAGCTTTTGATGACCAGTTAACAGATGTTCCAATTTGTCAGAATATTTTTTTGACAGAAAAACTACGAAACATTAACAAAACTTTTTTGTTATATACTTTTATTCCTTAAGTTTAAAATTGTAATTAGGAGTTAATTAAAATTAGCAATGTGAACTATATTTACATGTAATCATTTCAGATAATTGGTAATTTTTGCTTACATTCCCATTAAAAAAAAACAGCATATCTCAGATACAGTGGTAGATGGTAATGTCACATACTAAAAACATCACTCTCTTTCCTATTCTATAGTCATCATTGTGTTCCCAGCACAAATTAACTGTTTTAACTTTAACTAAAACTCCAATAAAATTTCTTCAAAAGTCCAACTTAGTGCTTGAGTAAAATTTAAGATCTATAGAAACCTTAAACATAATAGTTTAAAATGTTAATAACCTATAATTTATGAAAAAAAATAAAAACTTACTCCAAGTTTGCGACTGCGAATTCTTGTATAACTTTGCTTTGCTATGTCTCTTGTATCAGTTGCCATTCTTTTAGGCAAGTATTTATCTTTCGTAATGCATTTCAGTTTACCTAAACAAATACCAAAAATTCCATTTAGAATAACTATTCTTATTTATAGTGTTTCACTTTTGATTGAAAAAAATAAAATAATAATACAAGCCTGAAAATAAGCAATGGATATGAACAATGTCCATCCCAAAAATATGGTTTGTCCGAAACAACTGTGTTGGTACTGTTTATTTGTTCAACATATGAATGTAGACTAAAATGAATGGAAGGACTTTATTGCGCTCAACTCTGCAACATCGCATTAAAAGAAAGATATATTCTGCTATTATAATATTTTCAAGTACTTTTGCAAAAAAAAAAAAAGGCCCCTTTTCAAGCCCTTAAAATTCCATTCTCAAATCCTGTTGCAGAATTATCAAAAAGTTTTTCAAGAAGAAGGAATTGACATTGTGGGTGCCATTACTGCTTTAAAAAAAAATTTTAAATTCAAACATCCATTAGAGTGAAGTTACAAGATCTTCCAGGCACAAAGTGTTTGTTGAACAAAATGGAATGTTCAAATGGAGTGCACATATACCAGTATGACAAAAATCTGGAATTATTGGAATCAAAGAAAAATAGAAATAACTATGTCTATATCTTCTTGCATATCTTCCGATTTGGATGACTCTGGAAGATCCTTGTTAGAGAAAATTGCTCTCATACTGAATAGTGTATCATGGGTAGTTAGAGTAACTACCAGGTCATTCCATTTTACTGTTGTGTTTTACAGGCCTATTTAATGCTATTATTTACACGTTTTATGAGAATAAAACAAGAGAACAAATCAACTTTATCAATGTCTTCCATTAATGTTTACAGTAGCATAATCATACATATTAAAATGCATATGACAATTGCTATCTGTGTCAACAGATGCAAAGTAATTGGTGCCCGACACTTTGTCAAACACTGAAGAAAGATATTTTGAGGCTTGTAATGGTTGAATGTCTAGGAGATCACCATAAAAATATAATTTTAGAAATACTATCCATACTAATTATAACACATTATTAACATCTCCACTTTCTGGGTTTGAAACTTATCCAGTACTTGTGAGAGGTGTAATTATTCGTGGATTTTGCATAAAGTAATTAGACTTATTACCAGTAATTTTGAGATTAATCAGAGATCAAATATAAAATGTGTATGAAACTTTTTTGCAGATAATAAATATTTGACAATTATTACTCTAGTATTATTAGTCTAATCAAACACAAGCACAGGCAGTCACTAACACAAAGCTTATGTGTGTCATAACACTTTCTGGATTGACATATTAATTATGTACAAAAACTAAGTTTTAGTGTTACTCTATGAAAATTGTTTCACTAAGTTTCAACCTTTTAAGTTTTGCAATAACAAAATGCTGTACTTAAATATATTAAATGAATCCTGGCTAAAACTGTTAAGAGAAATGCATTAGGAAATTACGACAGATTATTCACGAAAGCCTACCTTAAGCCTACAATTAGACCGATAACATTTCCCTATTTTATATTTACCAGTATTATTGTTAGTAATCGTATTACTAGTAATGCTAATGTCAATTTTACTGTGGTACCACTAGTAGTCGTATTTTAATTTTTATTACGAACACGACTAATATAATAATATTGAGAACAATATTAATTCTGATACTATTACTAACGAAATAAGTAGTAATACTAAAGAACTATGTCAACTACTACCGCTACTAGTAACTGTTATCCTCCTAGTAGTAATGATAATATTAATATTAGTAGTATTATTACTAATATTAGTATTACTTAGTACTTATCAAATATCACTAAGTACCGAGACTCAAGTCTCATCATTACTCTCATGCATTTTTAAAATTTCAAAACATAAATTACTGGATTTCATTTTACTTCAAAAGCTTACAAACAATTACAACAATAACTTTATGATAAATCAAAACTAATTAAGAACTTACAGAATATTAAGTGACATTAAAATGACGACTGACGTCAAACGGATGAATGAACTAATTGGTGACCTCTAACGAGAAAACCATATTTAGAAGAATATTGTGCAATATCTATATTAATATAATAGTACCGTCTGTTGTATGTTCATGTAACTAATTCGCAGGGTATGGATAGATCTTCACCAAAATTGGTATGAAGGTTCATTAGGTATATGCGGGGGGTACATAAAAATTTGCGTTTGAGGTTTTTATGAGCGTTTTTTACCACTACCTCACGTCCTGTGAATGGATCTTCACCAAATGTAGTAAATGGAGGTTCATTGGGTCCAAGGTAAGATACGTACAAATCTTGCGGTTTTTATAGGCGTTTTCGCGCTTTTTACCACTACTTCGCCCCCTGTAGATGGACCTTCACCAAATTTGGTTTGTTGGGTCTATGCAGAGATATATGCAAATTTGCGTTCATATTCTGTGTTTTGTAGTTTTTATGGGCGTTTTTTCATTTTTTTTCTTTTTTACAATTACATATACAAAGAACCAAACATAAACAAACGAAAAATCAAGGAATCCATCTGAATTTAACAAAATAATCCTAATCTAAACCAACACCTTGGGGTGCCAAGATATCTCTTCTAAGTCGTGCAACAATATCCGATCATGTGACCTCTTTGTTCCATACTGTATATA